CAGAATCACTGTTCTGCTTGGATTGCTCTACAGCATTCAGTGTAAAAAAAGTTATCTATGACTTCTCTCTGTGTTTGAAAGTCTAGTTTGGCTTTAGTAACTTGCTATTACTTGATTTTTAAAATGTTTATTAGCATCTTGCTCAACTTGTGATTTCGGTAGTGTTAGTCATCAGTTTGAATTCTCAGGACAGGCAAACAGGTGTATCTGGTAGGATGAGCAGGAGTGGAAAAGCTTGCTCCTAAATATAGCAGGGAAAACTTTGGTAATATCTGTGTGATGATCCATACAGCAGTTGACAAACATCTTCAGGCTCTTTCTCCTGAGGTAAAAACCAACAAAACTGCCAAGTCAAACTGTGTCTCCAAAGCCTAATTAGACTGGGATATGGTAGTCTTTGTAGTTGCTGGTCACATTAACTGTATCAGCTTGTAGACATCGTTTTGGCCAGCTCAGCGAGGCTCTGGCCAGAGGGAGATTATATAGTGTAGGTTCTTCTGATAGCAGGTTTCCAGACTCAACCCCACTGCGTGGGTCCCTTCTGTGTGGGTGGATGTGGGCTGTCAGAGGCCTGTCTTCAGCTCTGCTGCTGCCAGAGTTTTGCTGTTTGCACTGAAACTTTTCACAGGAGCTATCTGCTTCAAGGGAAACTGGGGAAGGAAGAGCAAGTAAGGAAAAAAAGGAGGATGTTGGCTCAGGAATGGATCAGCTGCGTGTCTGTGCATAAAGCTACTTGGGAAGGGGACAGAAAAAGGAGTGGAAGTCTTAAAATGTTTGATTTGTACTTAGCAGCCCCTCTTTACAATGGGGAGCTAATATTTTAGCAATAGATTGTCTGGTGTGTGCAAAGTGTGGCTTCTGAAGCCTCTGATAACATGTCCCAATTTGACCATGACCTGGTCTTGAAATGTGTTCAGTCTTAAGTCTGTTTATTGCGCGTGTGAGTTTAGTACCTCTTACATTCTTTAAATAGTTGATCTGTATCAAGTATGCTTCATCCCAGGGCTAAGCCGTAATTGCTTGTCTGCAATTGCTTCTTATTGGTACTGAGTACAGGTACTGAAATGAGAGCAAGACGACTTTCTTGCAGGCATGTTTATTTGCTTATTTTAATGTTTTCTGTGCTTGGTTCTAGGAAATTAGGAGAAGAGTGAGGAAATTCTTGGTGTGCAAGAAACAGGAAAAGTGGAGACAGTGCAGGTATCTTAGAGAAGAAGGGGTTGGGATGTATAAGTAATGGATAAGAACATAAGATGACTGCTGTATGGACAGTGGCTGTACCGTAAAGAATAAGTCTACTGCTTCTACTTATTACTGTATTTGTATAAATAATAATTGTGTGCTATTCTAATCTAAAAGCACAGATTCTGCTGATACTACAAAGTGGACGTGGTCACAGTTTGTGATGTTTGCTCCAAAAAAATAAAGCCACTGGTGGGGAAAAGTAGCATGGTTTGAACAATATGTTAAATAAAGTGGGTAGCTACACACTAAATGTTTAATTGTGGCCTTTCCTTACCTTTCAGTGATAACTTAGCAGCCTCAAGGTTTTTCAGGAGTCTCTTTTTAAGTGTAAAAATGAAGGTGGTAGGAAGGTCCAAGCTGGGCATGGAAGGTGGATATTTGTTTCGAAGAAACATTAGCTAAAACTGAAGAGTTGTAAAATCAAAAAAAAAGGAAAAATAGTGTTCTCCACAAGGCAAAATCAGACTGTTAAACTTGTAGGCATGGAATGTTAAGGCAAAAAATTTTACAAAACTTAATGCATCTGGAAGAAGGGCTTTGGTTTATTGTTTGTTGGGATGTTTTTAAACCATAGGCCATTATAGTATGGAAGATGTTGTAGTGCTAACAATAAAATACTAATTTATCTTACAATAGAATAAAGAGGGAAGGAGAGTATGCAATTGTGGCTTGCAACGCGGCATTTAAATCTGCATGTCTTGTGTATGCTTTTCAACAGAATCTTCATTGCATGAAATAATTCTATGAAGTGAAGAGTTTCATTTCTAGTAATAGAGAAACAATTATCTCTTTATATGGATGACATTTGTTCTAGGACCTTTTTCTAACTAGTGTATTTCCAGCTTCTGTGTTTTGATATGCCAAATGAGGTAATAAGCGTATGAAAATAGTTGCAAAAATTTCTTCTGGTCCTGGGAATTTTTTTTTTCCCTTAGTATTTCCTATTTTTTTCAGCTTCATGTTGAACATGAGCCTTGTTATGATCAGTGAGAATGTAAAGCTGGCCCGTGAATATGCCTTACTGGGAAATTATGACTCTGCGATGGTCTACTACCAGGGAGTTCTTGACCAAATGAATAAGTACCTCTACTCTGTCAGAGATACGTATCTGCAACAGAAATGGCAACAGGTAAATAGTACTTTTCTGGGACATTTTGAGGGAAAAGCATTGAAGTAGAAAAAATTGCCTATCTTATGGTAAACAAAAGTATAAAAATACTTAAACCATTCTCTGATAAACTTATTGAAGTCGTCTTTATGACTTCTTGCTCTGACAATGACAAAACAGGTGATGGAACACAGCCCTGGGGAGCCAGTGCACTGTCTGGCTTGTCAGCTTCTTGCTGATGAATGCCCTTGTTATGCTGAAGTTTTTTAGACTGGTATCGTTTTGATTAGTCTTATTTCCCTCTCATTGTTTTAGTACTGTGACTTATAGATCCTTAATAGAAACTGAGTTGTGGCTGCCATGTTAATTTATCCTTAACACAAACCATCATTTTTTTCATTGACGTTCAATCTGTTAGGTTGTGCTCTTTTCTGTCGTACTTGTTTAATCTGCAAAATTTGTCTGAAGTGTCTTTGGTGTTAAATCCAAAATCTGTTTGTTTATTCTTTAAAAGTACTGAGGAAGGCAGAAAAACCTTCTTAGTATCTGATGTGCGTTGTTCTTGTCTATTGAAGTAGAATCAGGTAGCTTGTGAAACCTTGTGAAATCCATCCAGGCATCACATGGGCTTGAACAGAGGACTGTTACAAAGTCATTTGCAATGTGCTTAATCTACCTTTTTTTTTTTTTTTAAATCAGGTTTGGCAAGAGATAAGTGTGGAAGCTAAGCATGTGAAGGATATAATGAAAACACTAGAGAGTTTTAAACTAGACAGTACTCCGTTGAAAGCTTCACAACAAGAATTACCAGCTCATGATGCAGAAGTCTGGTCTTTGCCAGTACCTGCTGAAGGTAAGAGGAAACCTGAAGTCCTAAATTAACATTTATCAGGACAAAGTGTGCTTTGGCTTCAGCCTGTTCCTCTGTAATTTTTGTTCTAGAACTTAGATGTGTAACACTTACACCAGCAGCTTGCCACCGTTTGTGGTGAAAGAGATGCCATTTTGAGGCAGCCTATTTCAGAACGTTCTGGGGCTTTTATCTTATATAGGCTTGACTACTGTCAAGCTTCTTTTTTTTTTTTTTTTTTTTTTTTTTTTCTTTCCTTTTTCTGATTTAAGATAAACTTGTCATTCCATGGAAGCTCAACTCTATTCCTGAATTGATCTTCTCATCAACTTTAAAATTATTCTGCATGTAGCTGATATGAAAAAGATGAAGAAGTATTATGAGATTAACAGTAAAATCTAGAAGTGTTCAAGCTCAGTTCCTTTTGTGTAGCACGGTGGTTCCCTGATCTCCTTCATGAACTGGTCAGTTAGGCTAGCATAAGCTCAAGGCAAGGGGCGGTAACAAGCAGCTGCAGGCAAGCCTGCTTATTTCAGAAGTAGTTTTGAATTATGTAGGGTTAGTGTCTGTGAAACCACGGCCTTGCGGTGTGGTTTGACAATGTAGCTGCTGCTGAAAGGATATTCTTACCCTCCACAGTTGCCTGAGGTTTTTTCACTTTTGTCTTTGGTAGCGTTGATTAGCTGGTTCAGGATGCTAAACTGGCAAAAAAGACACTGTTTTGTGGAGCTAGTGTTTGGCTTTTTTTTTGTTTGGCTTTTAGTTTGTTTGGTGTTTGTTGTTGGGTTTTTTCCTGAGATTAGCTATCTGAACTGGTTAATTGGAGGTTCTAACACATGCCAGTGGTAGCATGAAAGAGGGAACAGGAGTGCATGTAAAGCAGATATGGAACTGTGCATTTTGACAGAAAGTGACTATTAGATCAGCTTAGCTGTACTGTCAAACTGTTGTTTGAGGCTTTGAATTTACAAGTTGTTTCTGGCAGATGGATAGCTTCAGTCTTTATGGGTACATTTTTACTTTTTTTTTTAATTGTTTTATTGTAAGCCTGCTTTCTGAAAGAAATGGGTCTTGTGTGATCACACTGTGGGGGTGTGGTCTTGTGTGATCATACTGTTTCTGTTTAACTCATTTAATGACTTTGGAACACTGCTAGCCAATTTCATTCAAACCTTCTGGAAGAATGGAGTCTGGGAGGTAGAACTTTCCTGATGTTTTGAAGCTTTTTAGAGAAGAGATACACAAACTCATGTTTCTAAAAAGGGAAAGACTTGAGAGAACTCTTTCTGTTCCATTTATCTTGCCAGCTGGTGAAGTATTTAGTTGTGGTAATACGAAAAAGCCACAGTGAAAACTTGGGCCACGTTGTGTTGGAATAACCACAGTAAATTCCTATACTGAGATAGCAGAACTCACAAATTTAGGTGGAAATTAGATGTGTAATCACACTATTCCTTTATTTTGAGCTTTGGGGTGGAATTCATAGGTGGCTAGGTGTTCATAAATAAAAGTATAGGTTGGTTGATACTCCATTTGGAGAGTGAAAAGACTTTAACGCTTATGATCTTATCATTAGCATATTCATGTTGCCTAATATGCATTTCACCCTGAAGAGATATGTACAGTTCTGACAAACTTGCTGCTGTGAATCAGTTAAAGACAACTTTTATGAGGGTACTGGATCCTGATATATCTTGAATTATATGTCGAAACGCATCTTCTGGTGCAAGTAAATGCTTTCCAAATCAGAGTCTTCCATTTTCTATTCTCTAGAAATATCCCTGAACTTAAACTTGACTTCCAGCTTATTAATGCTGGAATTTTAGGAAGGCCCGTGGAAAAAGTATATCTGTGAGAGTACGGATTTGTATAGGTAAGAAAGTGAATTTTAAAAAAAGAAATCCGTAATACCAATCATGATACTGGTTTATTCATATGTGCTTCTAAAAGTAGTCTAGTTTTAGAGGCTGGAGGCCTTATGTACACATTTTTTTTCCCAAGAAGTGAAAATAAAAGGAAGTGAAAATAAAACTGTCATTCCCAAGAAACCTTTAAATTTCTTTGGGTAGGAGAGTGAGGACCATTGTGATAAGGAGAAAATATATTGGGTGGGGTTTCTTTGTTCCCCCCCCCTCCCCCCAGCTTCATAATACTAGGATTACTTTTATTTATGAAATATACAAAGCAAGGAGCTTGTTTTAAGCAAATGAGCCCTGAGCTTGTGGCAAAGGGAAAATGGATTTTTAGTGACTGTCTAAAAATGTCTGCCTTGTTTCTGACATACAGATTTTTATCTTGAGCAAAATGGCTTTTCAGTTTGTAACCACTTGAGTTGGTTATGTAGTGGTCACCAGTGACTTTACACTGAGGCTTTTTGCATATGTTACAACTAATTAGACCTTCGCCAGGACCCAGAAAACGTCAGTCTGCTCAGTGCAGTGATTGCAGAGGTCACAATAATCGTATAAGTGCAGCTGTCAGAGGCCCTCACCGTCCATCCTCTCGAAATCCCAATGATAAAGGGAAGGCAGTCCGCAGCCGGGAAAAAAAGGATCAGCAAAATAAAGGAAAAGAGGAAAAGGTAAGCTTGCAAATAACTTCATGAAGTTGAGAAACTCAGTTTTGCTTTTTAATATTGAGTGTATTATAAAATTAGATGCCTATAAAATGTTTCTTCTGTTCAAGTCAGTATGCTGATTTGAATCTCACCTTGTAAGGTATCTTTGCTTTATAGACAATCTTGGTTATGGATTAATTAAAAAACAAACAAACAAAAAAAACTCATCTGGAGGAAGTGATTTGGTAAATGTGGGCTTGTTTACTGCAACTTGGAGATAGTTGTTTAAAATTATACCACTGAATTACTGAAGCTGAGCCTGATGGAGCTCATTCAAATGGGATGTCCTTGTGGGTTCTTTAATTGTTTTCATATATTTTAGACTGAGATTGACTCCCCTGTTCCAAAGCATTTCAAGATTTATTTAATCTTAAAGGGAGATCTCTACTTATTTTTTTGTTGAGATCTTTTTTCAGTTTAAAGCAAACAAAAACCCAACATACTTCATGAGAGAGAATGATTTATGATTTATTCTTTGCAGTCAGAGTGCTTTAATTTTTGCTTGTGCTCTGGTCTCCATAAATTTAGCTGACGACCATACCGGAGACACTAAATTCATAGTTTTCCAGGGTCTGAATAAATCAAATATCCATGTAATAGGGTTTGTTAGCTTCAGCAACCTTATGTTGTGGCAAGGTGTCATAGCCTGTGGAAATAGTATAAACAAGGGTGGAATTGTTTAGCTATGTAAGCTACTACTTTTATTAGGAACTAAATTACATTGTCTTTGTGTGATAATCCTCTCTCACTAAGGATATATACACACACAGAGACAGGATAGGTCTTTTTTCTTTTTTACAGTTGTTCTGTCATCACCAGTGCTTGCTGTTAAGTGTATAAAAAAATGGGGTATGTGTAGTGCATTTTATTTCCTTTCAGTTGCATGGTCTCTGCTGTTTGAGCCTTTTCAACTGTGTAGCTTCTTTGCTTCTGCTCTTCTGCAGAGCTGCTTCTCTGCTGTTCTTGTCCATGCTTCTGTATCAGTTAATTAGCTCATTTTTACTTCCATGGTCTTCCTGCAGATCACCTTTGCCCATCCTACATATGGAAGTCCTGCTTAATTTTTTGTGTGTCCCATATATATGGCATATTTATGACACTTACAGGATTTGAGATACTCTAGCTCAGCGTGACACTTTCTGATCCAGTCTCATATATAATTCCCTCTGCCCAGCTACTGTCTTGGGTAGCTTTTAATTTCTCTGGGAGAAGAGGTGAACACTGTTATACTGGGATAGGTGTGTGCAGTTCTGATTACTTACTAAAGCAAAGAAACTGCATCAGTACGATATGCTGGCTTTGGGGAGAAGGAAACATAGTACAGAAGTCTCTGTGAACCACATAGATCCTGCAATGCAGCAGTAATATGGATGCTTCATAATTTTCGTGCTGGTTTATGTTGCTGCCTTTTAGAAATATGATGCTATTGTGGACTTGTTATAAAAATCCATTAGTAGCATCACCATTGTTATATACTTATGTTGTTATATTCTTTATATGTAGAACAAATCCACATCTGAGATTTCAGAGTCTGAACCAAAGAAATTTGATAGTACTGGATACGATAAAGATTTAGTAGAAGCTTTGGAAAGAGATATAATTTCTCAGAATCCCAACATTCGATGGTAAGTTTGAACACTGCCAGTCTTTCTGAGTTGTTGTTTCTTTTTCTGCTTATACAATATGACAAGAATTAAGTATTTACTCATTAAATAGGTAACTAAACTTCTTGTGTAGTTGAATATTTTTAGAACTTTTTTTCCAGCCATAGATTCATAGGATAGTTTGGGTTGGAAGGGGCCTTTAAAGATCAGCTAGTCCAACTCCCTGCCATGGGCAGGGACATCTTCCCCTAGATCAGGTTGCTCAAAGCCCTGTCCAACCTGACCATATAAAGCTTCTCAAACTTTTCTAGGAGTACTGAAATCAATTTTTAAGATACTCTTTTGCAATGTGTAAGATTCTAGTGTCTGCCAGTGTCTCTTCATTTAAAAATCTGCTTTGCTACCCAGGGGTGTACCAAGATAGAAAACCAATTAACAAAGAAGTTATGTCAATATAGGAACCCTTTGAAATCTTGCTGGACGTGATGTGACCGCCAGTATAAAATATAACCACGTGTCAGTACGTTTACATAAATGTGTTAAATATTAAACCTTATACAAAGGTTGTTTTGTGTTCCAAATGTTTCCAAGCTTAGGTGATTTTGTGAGGATTAAATGAGTGAAAATCTTCTGGCAAATAAAGTAGGCTTTAAAAAAAACCTGAACAATCCCACAAACAACTTTGTATGCATGCAACTGTCATGTATTTCAGTTTAATATGTAAATATATGTTTCAATTTTTATATTGAATCTTAAATTACAACTTCAGATTTGAAACTAATTCTCCATATAAATATGTTTTGAAACCAAAATACTACTTGAGCACATGCTGTTAAGTGGAATGCCCTGAGAGTTACCCTCGAGAAAATAAGACCAGCCTATGAGGTGTCTAAGAATTAATACATTTGTAACTCTGAAAAAGAATTCTAAAAATTCTTTGTAATTCAGCTCCATTTACTAGTCTTCAGTAAATTGTTCTTGTAACGATGAAAGGTGGTATTCAAGTTTCAGAGACGGCCAACCAGTAAAAGAAGAAAGCATCATCTGTAACTAGCCTAAGTTTAACCAACTTGCCTTATTCTGCTTATTCTTTCTGTGAATAAGAACAGTGGTGCTCTAGTGCAATAGTTAATGCGTCTCTCTTTGCTTTTGCATCCAGATGGAGTCTACTAGCCAGATGTCAACTGTCATTGTTGTAGGTTTTTGCCACTAGAACGTAAATAAATCCAACTCATTTTCCTGAATTATGGAAGAGCCATTACGTAACAATAAGTTTAGTTGCATATTGTTATGAGCTGTGGACTGATTCTTTTGCAGCCTGTCTGAATCTGTCAAACAACTTCCTCTTTTTTTGTCAGGGATGACATTGCTGATTTAGTAGACGCCAAAAAGCTGCTTAAAGAAGCTGTAGTTTTACCGATGTGGATGCCGGAGTTTTTTAAGGGAATTAGAAGACCATGGAAGGTATGAAAAAATCTGATCCTGTGATCATAAGTAAGATTCTGAGATTGGATCTTGGCGGAACAAGAAATTTCTGGTGTTTTACAGTTTATATAAATTCTTTCCACTTTTTAGTAACAAAATTTATGGTAAATAGTACTAACAAAATAGAGATGTCAGCCAGATAAACACACAGTCTGCAGCTATATTGTTGCAAGTAAGCAATAGTAATTAATTACTTACCTTTGAATAACTTTTCAAGGGAAAGTTTACAGCTAGTATTTTAATATTACACTATTACACAAACTGTGAAATCGTCTCTGTTTTGATTCTTTTCCTAAAAGTGGTTCTTTTTAATTTTAATAGGGTGTGCTGATGGTTGGTCCTCCTGGTACTGGAAAGACCCTCCTGGCAAAAGCTGTAGCCACTGAATGCAAGACTACTTTTTTCAATGTTTCTTCTTCCACACTTACCTCAAAATACAGAGGAGAATCTGAGAAACTTGTTCGTCTACTGTTTGAAATGGTGATTGAAGTTTCTGAACCTAAATACTGAGATAATGAAGTAGAATTACTTCTGGAATAATGAAACCTTGCCAAGATGTAGAACTCATAGCATATATAAACAGCTCTCCAAGCTTCAAACACTTTAGGGCCTTCTGATTTGGCCATGTGCATTCAAGATCTGGTTATTCCTAAATAGCTTTATAAAAACTGAAAAATGAGGTCATCTTTGTTTTCAGGGTTAGCTTGTTACATTAGAGGTAGCTCACTATAAGCTGATGAGTGCTGTAGAACATACTTGAATGTAAAACTGGATATAGAATCTGATTGCTTTCTGGGTGAGAACCCTACTTAGGCTATGCGTGTTTTGTTGTTATTGTGGGTGGTTTTTTGTTTGTTTATGGTTAAAGTAAGTGGACTTCCAAACTGTAGTTGGTTTCAGAGCACATAACACTTGACACTGGCTCAGAACATGTAGTCTTTTTTTCACGTTACCAGGTTTGCATGCAGTGTTTGCTAGGGTGCCCAGTACTGAAGGGGGCAGCAGAGTTGCAATTACAGTAGTCAGAAAAGTCAGGAAATAAAACATTTTTTACTATATAGTTTGACCATATTAAATGAGTTGATATCATGCCTATCAATCAAAAATGCATATACACAATGGTCAGCATCTTAGCTGCTCTAGGACTATAGCTTTTATTATTGCAAATCCTTGTCTTTGACCTCTTGTTTTCAGAAAGATTAGAGTTATTTTGCAGTTGACCTGTCTCTTGGACAGGTTCCATATCATGGTGTCCTAGCCTAACGTTCGTCCTAGCTTTACCTGAGTTCTTATTCAAGTATTCTGCGATGACTTTCACAGTTATAAATGTTATTCCTAATGTGTAAAACTGCTGTTAGCTTATTAAACATTTTTTTTATAGCCTTAACAATTATAGGTCTTTGCCAGAAACTGTTCTGCTCAGATGTTATTAACGAATGCACAGCTGCTCTGTAGTTGTGTGCGATGGTCAAAGAGAGGGAAGGTTAGGTATTGTTTTATACTTACGAGCTGATTCATTGGGATAGATGTGTCATTACTCAGCTCTGAATATGCTGCTATTTCTTAAATGTGAGTAGACTGCCATTTCAGTTTCTGCTTTATCTTTTGCTTTTTTAGGCTCGATTTTATGCCCCGACAACTATATTTATTGATGAGATAGACTCTATCTGTAGTCGCAGGGGAACTTCAGAGGAGCATGAAGCTAGCCGACGTGTGAAGGCAGAACTGCTAGTTCAAATGGATGGTAAATAACCTGATCACTGAGAAGTGCTGGACTGTAGGAAACTTGAGGGAGAGAAAAAAAAAATTAAACTTCATTCTCCAGAAGCAATTTGTTTGAAAGCCTTACATAAATTGGGGTAAAAAGATAAAAATGCACTATTCCAACTGTCAGTGTGGAAGGAAAAAAAAAAACAAAAACAATTACTTAACAATCTTGTAGCATCTGAGCAATGACCTTATATTACTGATACAGAATAATGAAGATTCAGTGCAAAATACAAGATTTCAAAACTGCAGAAGAAAAAAAAGTATTAATTGCTCCTCTCAGTCTGTACCTAGCATATCACTCACTTCTCCAAAACCAAGTAAAAAGTGGTTCAAAAGAACTGTCACTTGTTCCAATTTAAACTTCAAAGGCGGTCATTACACTTAACTTCTTTGGGATCTCTTTTTTTTCTGTTAAAGATACAAATAAAAAATGAAGGCAGTTTTTTATGGAAGTGGTTGGGAGAGTTTTCTTTTTAAAACACTGAGTTCATTACAGCTATTTGGTTGACATTTCACAAATTAACAAAGTTTAAAAGTAGGTAACGCTGTGCAAATTTGCTAGAGAGGCATCCTTTTTATACTCTGGTGAGCAGGGAGAAGGAAAGGAGCAACTGAAAAGTGCTAATCTGTGGAGTAATTTGTGATGGAATTCCATGAGTCATAAGATTTCTACGTTTATTTCTGGTTCTCAGATGTTGATACTCTTTTATGTTTGACTTTAAATGGCAGCAGAGCTGTAATAATGTTCTCACAACTCAAGTAGGTACATAAGCTAATTTTATTAGTAACAATTATTTGAAGTCCTTTTACTTCAGCGTTCATAAATGGTGTTTTATATGCAAATTTTCAGGCAGACTCGGTACTATGGCTATTCCACAGCCCAATCCTATGATTAAAAGCAAAAACAGTAAATGCAGAGGGTAGCAAGTTTAATGAAATGAACTTCTTCATATAGCAGCAGTTTCACAGTACTTTAGAGACTGAGGCGTTCTCTCTGCCTCTGAGAAGTTGTGATTCAGTCCACCAAATTTAAATGTTCACTTCAGCAATTTGTAAGAATCCACCTGTGTGTGTAAAACATTTAGCCTGAATTCAGAAGTGAAGAGACTTCATAGGGGAGTAATGCTGCTTTTGCGTGGCTGTTAGTGAATACTGTTGGGGGGGTGGGTGTCTGTTTCTTGGTATGGTGATGGTTTTGGGGGGTTGTTTTGTTTTTCCTCACATGCTTTTACAGGATGTTGATGTGAAAATTCAAACACTGTAATGGTAGAAATACAAACAACTTGCTCTAAAAGTGTTCCAGCCATGACAGAGAGGAGCTTCCTGATCTGAGCAGTGACCTATGCCACTGCTCGTAATTAAACTGAGTCTCCATTTTTGCTTGCAGGCTGTCATATAGATGAAAAACTGACCTCATTGCACTTAGTGATTCTATTGTACTTGGACTTGCTAAAGTGCAATAGAGTAGCTGCTTTAATATTATAGAATTGTGGATATTGTTCTCTCTAGACATGAAATTTCACAAAACGTACGTACATTTTACTTCCTCTTTTCTCCAATGCAGGTGTTGGAGGGGCTACTGAAAATGATGATCCTTCCAAGATGGTCATGGTACTTGCTGCTACTAATTTTCCTTGGGATATTGATGAAGCCCTAAGACGGAGACTAGAAAAGAGAATTTACATTCCTTTACCATCAGGTATGAAGACTTGGGGAGAGGAGTAGTTGAAAAGACTAAAATCGAAATTTTATCAATATTCCTTTAGTTTTGATCACCTGGTTTAAAAATCTAATTGATACATATATGCAAATTCATTTGTGAATTCAGGACCAGGTTAAATCTAAACATTGAGTATTTATCTTTATAGTACAATGTCCTTTTCCTCATTCTTCCCTCTTATCCTTCTTCAATTTGTTATTTATCTTCAGAAAGCAAGTTGTATAGACTCAATTTTCTATTCTTTGATTAGCAAAAGGTAGAGAGGAACTCCTAAGAATAAATCTGCGAGAGCTGGAACTGGCTGATGATGTTGACCTTGCAAATATAGCTGAGAAAATGGAGGGTTATTCAGGTGCAGACATTACCAATGTATGCAGGTATGTTAACATTGCATCATTTGTGTTACTACTGCTACAAACTGAGAAAACTGTTTGTAGAGTAACTAATTTACATGATTAAAGTTGTTGGATAAAAACATACTGTAACTTGTCTTTTATGTATGGCTAAAAGGTGAAATACTGCCTGAATATTTACCTAGATTTCCATTTGATATTTTCATATAATAATGGTGAAGAGCAGTTGCAATATAGTAATCTAAACAAGCTGTGATTTAGGTAAAATTCCGTGTTCTTTCATGTACACCAAATTCCTTGCGTGAGGAATAATCACAGGATGGTAGACTTAAACTTGTAGAGTTGCAGTCATCCCACTGAGGTTATACTACTTCAGCAGAACATCCATGCGTAAGAGGCAATAGTGGCAGAGGCCAGAATAACTAAAGTAAAAAGCGGAGTGTTCTTCCTTCATGACACAGAAAAGGTATACCATATCGTGTGACAGTACAAGAGCTGTGTGCTCAGCACATTGCCTTTAGTGATGAGGCTGACTTATGTTTTCTTCTACCGCTTCCATCTCCCTTCTCTTCAGTAGTGTTTGCATACAATCATTTGTGGGCTTGTTGTATAACCTAGATTCCTGAAATAATTGACTAAAAATACCTTCTAACCCTTCCCCCAATCTTTTCTTTCAAAGATTGAAAAGGGAAGGAAAGGACTGCTCTTTTAAGAGACTAGTATCAGTCACTTGGTTTACATCTAAAGATTTGCACTGGCTCAGTTGCAGCGGTGGCAAATTATGGAATCAGCAGTATGGGACAAAGAACTGAAACTTCTGTTTCAGTTGCTGAACGATGCTGTTGTCATCTAGTAAGTGTATAATGTGTAACTATGCTTTCAGGCTTTGGAGGTAGCACTGAAGTGTGGCAGTGCAAGGCTTGAGCTCCAGGTTGTGCCAACACAACTGTTGCGGGGCTGTACTTTGAACAGGGTAAGAGAGCTGTTCTGGATTAAAATCATCTCTTTCATTGCTTTCCTCAAACGCAGATCCATTCCTTGCCTTGATTCCTAATACAGCTCTGCAAACACTTGTCAGCACAACTGAGAGGACAATATGCTGTGCCCCAGGGATGAGTGCGAGTGGCCTGTACACAAAACTGCCACCAAAGGCTCTATCAGCAGGGTCCCTTAAGGCTGAACTAAGAGTTTGGAGGCTCAGTACTATTTCCTGAACAAACCTTACACAGTGTCTGGGAAAAGAATGGTATGTTAGTTGCTCTGAATCAGTGTTGTGCAGATTTGTTTCATTTGTAGGTTTGTGAGGTGAATTTGTGGTGTTCTTTTGCTCAGTCTTCGTGTTGGTTGTGCTTTGAAAGGAGTTTGTGTTAATAGGGTCATGTTTTATGAAAGAGAGTTTTTGACCTGCTGCTTTATGCATTTTACCTGCAGTTTGTCTCCTCCGGTCTGTTCGTTATTTGTAATTAATTTTATACTGGATACCAATACACTTGTTTAAAAGTCAGAATACTTGTAATGTTTTTGAGTGAATTTTATATATATAT